ATACATTGGATATTATCACTTATACTAACACTTAAATATAACACTTAGCGGTAAGCATTAAGGGAATATTATCTTACACTGTCTTTTATTGCTTTGACGTCTTTTGCCAGTTCCTGCCGAACAAAGACTTCCAAACACCGCTATAGTTGTCAAATCTAGCAATTATTAAGTACTTATTGTTAAGAACCAATCGCTTTAGACTTGCACATTGCCAAGAGCCTGATGACAAAGATGAAAATGATTGGTCTTAATCATGGAAATTAGCAGAGTAATTTATCTGTTATGAGTATTTTGATGACCAAGAGTCTGCCCGCTCGAACAGGTGACTGCGGTATGAACCTTCCTCTGCCTTCATTTTTCATTGGATATTTATTTATGTTTAGCTGATAATTTGCACTAGGTCCTACTTTCTCTGACTAATACAAAATGTGCTCAGTATTCTGGTTATTGATGATATATGTGATACATCTGTTGGTGACGTTGCTCATAAAAGTATTAAGTTATTACTTAGATGTGATGCAAATCATACCGTAGTTGATGAAACCAGTACTCTTTCCAATTTGGCACCTTTCTTGTCATTGATTGGAAGATTTAAAAGGAAATGATTAAATGAGCATTCTAATTGGTTGATAGATAGCTACGGTCAGGAGTGCATTCATTCATGCACTGGATAGTATGGTATTCATTCATTCCTACGTTTAGTCCCTTAAATTTATTTTTAGTTATCATCATCATTATCAACAACACATAATTTTAACAAAATCATCATCATCATCATTATCATCATACAAAAATCATCATCATCATTATCATCATCATCACAATTGTCATCATCATTTATCAGTTCATTCATTATTTTACAAAGGTTTTAGTACTTTAACCCTTTGCTCAAATAATTTCCTCTCCCCCTTCTCCCAACCTTCAGACATCCTTTTCTCTCAATTCACATGACCAAGTATGGTAATTTAACCTTAGCTGTAGAGCAAAGTTCAGCATGTTTGCCCATTTATGTAAAAATAAGCTTAATATATTAAGCTAATTGACCTGTCATATTGTGAAGCGAGACCAGCATTTTCTGTCTTGTCCATTGTACCATATGTCAAAGATTGTCAACAAACTAGTCAAAATATCATAATTTACTGTAGTTGAAATACTCCCTATGAGTAGAAGAGATGAAACAAACCGACGTGTAGGTTCCAGTCGATTAACTCCACTCAGATTAAGGCCTAGGTACCAGGGGACCATTCGTTTCAATTTACCGTCGTCGCTTAGAAATTTTTACACACAGAAATGGTTTTATAAACCTATGTTTATTATGTTCCTGCAGCTTGTTTATATTTAGCCTTTGCATCAATGAAATATCCCATAATTCCCGGAGGGACATTTTGTGTTTAAAGTACTTTGTGAAAATAACCGAGTAAGCACGTGTCCCGTGTTAAAATAATCATTGATATCTTCTATAATACAAAAGTCTTTAAAATATTGGGAACTAGAAGATTAAAAATGAATTAAATTGATCTGTTATTCAAAATGTAAAAAATTGTTTACATTATAAAAATTTACATGATAATATGTGACCACATAAAGGCTCGCGGTATCCAATATAGTTGGAATGTACGGTACATAATTTACGACATCTTAATTGATACATATGCTGTAATTTAGTTAATTCTTTAATGTTTGAGAACATTTAAGACAGTTTCAAGAAACTGGTTGTATTTGTTATTAAACTTGTTATAAGAATTTGAAATATTATCAGTTACAAATTTATAGATTTTACTTTTCTAAGAACTCACTTTATACTTTTAATTCCATTTGTTCTCGAACATCTTTCTATTCATATATAAATCATCATTTTCTCCTACAGAGTCACAAACCTTAAGAAGTTTGATTGAAATGTGGATGAAATTTTTTTTTTCAATCAATGAAAGCTAATTTAAAATGATAAAATTACATTTATAAATTCCAGTGTGAAACAGATTAGGACAAATATTTATTTGATGATTTATAGACATTTTACTAAAAAGTCCATAAATTGACAATTTTAAACAGTTTACCAAAGAATATAAGAACTATTATGAGTTAATTGGAAAAACAAAGATTCTCATTCTTATATTTCAATTGAAAGATACCTTAAATTTTATACTTTCAGTTTGTTACCTATTAATTATATCTAAAATAATAAATTATCTTGAATTGTAATCATAACATTTGGTGTGAATGCTGCACAGTCAGTATTTTACAGTCGCAATTATATTGTATTCATTCCAATACATAATAATCTGCTTAAATTGTATAGAGCTGTGATTTCTGTTAGCAACTCATTCATAAATATTGTACTGAATCCATTTCACAATGGTTGTAAACAATCTGTTATCAAAGCTTAAGGTGTGAATGCGCCACCTTTTTCTGGTTATTATAGACCAAGGTGTACTGCAATTCCCCCCTTGTGCCCACTTAAGTTTCATTTCCATCTGTCTATGTGAAAGCTTGCAGTCTATTATATTTATTCCCGGTTTTATCACCTCGCACATTGACGGTTATTACCATAAGAAAAACAGATTCCTTGCCATTGGCAATGTGATTGTGAAAACAACATAACGTAAGTGAGTGTTTGTTATGTATGAACACATGCTTGTGTTCTCTGAATGGTACTCATTAAACCATGTGAATTAGAATCGTTTCAAAGACGTTCTTAAACATGTATGGATAAAGTAACCATATTAGGCTCATGGAGTGATGGACGGCTCATTGTTCATCATTTAAAGCAAGTAAAATATCCAATTTTCTTCGCATTTCCTTGCATCTTTCCATTTATTTAAAGCTGTGCAAAGCTGGTCTCATCATTACAACGGTTATTACTAGTAACGGTGACCGCATGCAGCCATATATCCATCGAGGTTACTGCAATCACTCCAGTAATCAGATGAGAATAGATGGAAAATATTTCGTGTACTGTTTTATGTGTGTTTTATGAGTTTTCTTGATAGTAATTTTGACTCTCTTATGCCTTTATTGTATGCAACATTGTTGCATTTTGTTTTGATTCTTTGAAATCATTGGACGTTTAGATCGTATTATGTGGGTCGCTTAGATGTTATTGAAAGCAATCGTGAAATGCAATTAAGAAACACTTCAATAATCTGCAACAGAAAACCTGATGAAACAGAGCCTGAAATATTTTCTTGAAACTCAAACCTTTAAATTGTGTCCCAGAATGGAAAAAAGTGTATCATGGTGCTTAACCCCTCAACTACTGTCCTTTTCGTTACAAGTTTTCGAAAATATCTCTCGTAACTAAAAACCAAAACGTATAATTCAGATGGAAAGTAGCACTTGAGTATTTTTAGTTGATATTCACCAACAGAAGAATAAGAATATAAACAGTGTAACATACTTTGCAGGCTTTATATCAACAGCAAGTACAATATTTCACCCTGTCATTATGGGTGCGGTCAATTTTTCGCCATTAAAAAGAGAATGAACCCAGGAATTCTGGTATTTTAAATCAAGTGTAATTTAGTTAAATTGCGTAATGGATTGAATAGCTTTCTTTTGTTTATGACTGATATATCCATTAATTAACAGATTGTCTTTTTATTAATTAATTGATCGATTGATTAATTAATTGGTTGATTAATTGATTGATTAGCTTGAAATAAGTGATCAATTAAACACTTTCACTTTATCACCTGAAGTTGTTAAGTGATTGAAGTATTGCACATAATACTTGCACATATTTTTTAATTATTTAATATTTACTGCCAGCATAACAAGTGAAAAAAATGTGTTTTATTTCATCATAAAATTTGACAACCCACATATTAATCAATCATTTAGGGCATGTTACTGTAATGCTTGTTGAAAATATAAGTATCTTATGTAATCTATTCGAGTGATGCAGTGAAATACATCAGAAATTTAATTCAACAACCATGTAAGAAGTTAAGTGTTCTCACATTTTCCTATTTTTATGTTTATATTTTTAGAAAATAATTTAATTATACCATAGAGGTATTATTGAGAAGATCACTCGAAAAAGCTACGCGCACGCAGCGCTATGCAAATGAACCAAGGTCAAAGCTGCCGCAGCGCGTGAAAAACGTTTGCGCGATGCCTTTGAAGTCCGATGTGTTCCCCGCCATCAAATTTTCAGCAGGCATAGTTTAGCAAAAAATTGAATATGGCGAAATGGAGAGCACCTTCTTTTCTCGATGCGCACTACATACAGTCAATCACTATGGCTGCGCAATCGTTTCCATTTTGAAGCTGATACATTTATCTCTCATAAAATATCAAACATATTAATATTTTCCGCCAAAAAAAGTTTCGAATTTAATGGAACATTTACATGACCTATAAAAGTATATTTCAATTTCAATTTTCATAAATTGGCCAAAATTCGCCAATTCTAATTTTAACAGATATTAATTAATAAATAATTGAGGATTATAATAAACTAAGTCATTTTAGGGTTAACAAGGGTTAACTATTCGAAAAATCAATAAAAAAATCTGAGTATTTTTCAGTTTTACGCTGACTTAGCTTTATAGTCGAACCAATCAATCTTTAGACAGAATTATAATGAACACAGAAGTAATTTTAACATAAATATTTTACGGAATCTGTTCCTGAAATATACAAATAATAACATACTAACAGTCCGAAAAAAACTATTCAGGGGAATATTGTTCATTATAAAGATATTTAATGGGTTAAAATCAAACGCTTTATTGTACAACTGCTCTGCTGGAAGCGTATAAATGCATGTCGTTGCCAAGTTGTTGCTAACGAAAAAATGTGAATTATAGGGTAATATGCCCGCGCGCGATTCAAAGGCGGGGAACACATAGGTTTGTCGTGTCAAAGGGATCTGTTGCCAAGTGATCTCACTCAATAATACCTCCATGATTATACAGTATTGATATTTAAAATATATATTTCCATATCTGATTATTCTTGAGAAGATAAAGTCAATAAGTTTATTTTTATTTCCACAGATTCATTTAATTTTGAGTTTATACAGTGTGAGTTTTAAACTAAATTGCCTTTTGAATTGAAATTCATTACACCATGCAAATATTTTTCATTTTACTCTTTGGTTTTTATTATATTTAGCCTTATTTATATCCTTAGTTCTATTTCTGCTCTTTTTTTTACTGAAAATTACTAATTTGATATTCATATCTTTTTTTTAGATTTTCTTTCATCTTAACTGCTTTTTTGCGTTTCATAAAGATATATGAAGAATAAAATTGACATCAATCATTGTTCAATACATCCAGCACACATTTTGATATATATCCTCTACACAATATTGTACTGCCATATAAAATGTTTCTTTTAAACCATTTAACGTAGACTTGATTCAGAAGTGATATATTAGTGATATGAGGTAGTAAGTGTCTGCTGTTTAGACTGTATATTCAAAGAAGTATTGAAAAGGGCCATTATAAATATAGAAATAAATGATAATTATAATCCATGTTTCAGGAGAATATTAACATATTTTTGAGACAGTACACATAAAAAATAAGCACCGTAGTATTACATGCTGAAGTATTTATTTATGCTTGTCTGTAGATAGAGGATGCATTTCATTGCTTTCTAATAAGTTTCATCAATACTCTTATGAACTAAACTTACTGTGCTTTAAAGTAGTGTGAACCACTTCACTCACCTGATGAAGCCCCACTGACTGTAGCGGAAGCTCGTGAAATAAAGTGTATTGATAGTCAAAAAAGTGCTACCTACTCATTTTTTCATCTGTATACACTAATACGGCTACTGAACTACTTTCTTGCTTTAAAGCCTGTATATGCATTTAAATCCCAGACTCGATACCAATGATTAGGCTTATGCATTGATAAAATTTTCTTATTAAACCAAATTATTTATCTTTCATGCCTGTTGTTAATAATTAGATACATAATCAAACCCCAGACTTAATAGCCAGAGTTTGAACAAACTTTGTCTAACAGTGTATGTATTTATCTGATTGTCTTATTAAACCAAATTGCATAATCTGTTATGCCTGTTAATAATTGTACAAAATCTGATCAAGTATTGTCTGACAAAGGTTTGATAATGTATAATGCCTAATACCCGGTCGCACTATCAAGTCATATTTGTCCTACCTGAGATTGTCTATATATGAGTGTAATAATATCATCATGTCCATATGTGGATGTGATATAATATCATCATGTCCATATATGGGAAAATTACACACATTTGTGACAGGTAGTGTTGACAGACCAAGAAAATCCTCAATAATCATCACCATCATCATCATCATCATCCTCTTCCCAAGGATCAAAATCCTCGTTATTATACCTATAATTATTGGAGTGTTGAATGAAAACCTTTATATTATCCATTTATTACTTTCATATATGTAAAGATTGTGCTAGAATTTTCATATTTATTTAACATATTGCTTCTTTGAAATCATCGACCTACTTCAGTCATGTGTATTTTCTTGCACTTAGATTTTCCATGTGATTTTAATTCTTTAAAGTTGTTGAAGTAACGTAACGACTGAATGTATCAGTGGCATCATTTAACTTTTCCCATTATCTTCGCAGTGCCGTCTCCTGTTAGAGGAATAATAGTCAGGAAGATCACCTCAACATCTGTGAATCTGGAATGGGAAGTACCAGAGTTTCCCAATGGAGAGATTATAAGTTATCAGATTCGTTACTACCGACAAGACCAACCGTTAACAGACGGCAAATATCTGACTCATACGCCGACATTTGGGAACATTCAGGAAAAACTGATTGAAAATCTCAAACTGCTCAATCATAAATATATCTTCCAGGTAATATTTTACTGAAATTTGTTTAAAATACTTAATGTATATGATGCTGTGAATTGAATGGAAATGTACAGAAGTCTTCCCAACAGGCAAATTTGACATGTAAAGGCATTCCATACAGGTAAAGGTAAACTCAGACAGCATCGTACGACGCAAATATTTGTTGTGTCAGGTCTGTGCGAGTTAAACGCAGCCACGATGGTTTATGGTGGATACAGTTGCGTCGTTATATATTAAACATGTTTAATATTTTTCTTGACGGTTTAAGACTGTCCCAGATGATGAATCACATTGGGCTACGTCGTACGAGTTGCCCGAGTTGGCCGTTAGATATAGCTCGCTTTACAAAAAGCATTGCTTTTAAGAACACAGAGGCTGGGATGAAGTTGATGTGTTATCTGAAATATGATCGCAAAGGTCTGACGGTGACAGTTAAACTGTATTGTAAGCCGGGGATAAACAACAGGATGTGAGATTCACTTTAAAGGGGTAATCTAATGCACATTACAGTCTACATACCTTGCAGCTTTAATGCTGCATCATGGCCAACGCACAAGACGCTTAAAGTGCTGTACTTCAACAAGAAGGAATGAAAAATATATGCCCCATTGGTGTCTTTGTAACATTAAATTAATAAAAATATAAATTAATCTAATTAGCAGAAAAACAAAGAATTATTTGTTTTTATATTAAAAATCTAAATAAATATATGAAGTTGAATGATACGAATGAGTAAAATGTTTTTGGTTAATATATAACATAAAACTAATATTTATATTAATAATATACATTGTTTATTGTTTCTTGTTGCTTTAGGTTCGTGCTCAAACTAAGTCCGGATTTGGAGCATTTAGTCATCCAATCAGTACAACATCAACAAGTAAGAATCATTAATTCAGTTGCTTTTACATATTTTGTGTAAAATTTTTTATTGCAGCAGTCAAGTTTTCTGTTAATTCACAAGGGAAAACTTTTCCTCGATTGAATGAATTTGGAAGTTTATATTTCCTTTAAGAAATTGCCAGTTTATATTTTAAATTCAACTTTCAATGTTTATGCCACAGATAGAGCAATTTTTTTTAGTAACTTGACAGAGCTGTGATAGCTAAGACCTAATATTTCGAAAACTTGATTGTTTAGAGCTCTCAGAACTGGAACTCAACTACAGTAGGATATTTTTAAATGACCCATTTCCATCAATCGCCATTCGTAAGAACCATTCTAAAGAGATTTCTTTCGTTCACAACAGGATCAAGCCAGGATCTTACGGCATAATTCCATACCGTTTTTTCCATCACTTTTTTCACAGCTCTGATGAAAATGTGACAAATGTAATGGCACTTTATTTAGTTTATCTTAAGGCTGTTAGTCTTAATAAGATTACAGTGTGAATGTCATTGTCCCTGATTTTGCAAAGAGAAAAAAATATATACTGTATAGCTGATTTTATTGAGTTGGAGGTGACTGTCTTTAAACCTTCATCAATAGAGGGAGCTATTGCAGAAAAGTATTATGCTTGAAATCTAAAGGCATGTGGTAGCATTGGTAGTCTCTGGCCTTCCAACTAAATGGTGGGTTTGAGACTGATAGTGCTGTTCATATTGCTTATGGGAGGGGATGGGGAAAGAAAATGTTTGTCTCTATCCGCCCTGGAGTATATATGGGTGTAAAATGAAATTATATAAATTTCTTTTTTTTTTACTGTTTAATGTTCAAATAGCCATATTCAAATGTTAGAATTCATCTAGTATTATTCTCTTTGATCAGAGGAATAATAATAATAATAATAATTCTCTTTGCACTTACAAATGAGATGAGCCCTGGATATGCTCACTCTAAAAATATTTTCAATTGAAATATGAAATATGAATGAACTTTATTATCTTTCATTAAAAATAACAAAAGAAAAGCATCTTCAGTTGGCAAAAGCAGACAAAAAACAGAAAATCTAAAAATATCATATTGTTATTATAATTAGTATTGAGGGCAGCCTCTCAGAAAAAGAAACAAATGAAACCTTTTGTGAAATCATTTCTTTTTTCCTTTTTGCGTACCCCAAAAAATGCTTATATTTTGTTTTAAAAACAACATATTGATAATATTATGTTTCTATTTTGATTAATGTGTTTTGCTTTCATTTGTCTTCAGCAGACATCTTCAGTTTTATTAGAAATATATTATAAACAATATTAGATGAATATCTATGCGATGGAACAGAGTCACAATTTTACATATATTTGAAAGTGGTAATAAAATATAAAGTTAGTGAACATTTTTCCTGTTGGCTATGTTATAGCATTTTTATTACCCATAAATGTAGGTTCTATAGGAGAAGAAATCCTTGGAAAAACATTTAAATGTACAGAATACATTAATATATATTTATGTATTATTTATTTGATTTTACATCACCCACTCATTTAGACTCGGATAATGGTGCTGCATTTGGATTAGGGATGATTGTTGCAGTGGCTGCAGGGGCGGTGTTCATTTTGTTGGCAATTCTTGCTATTATTTACTGGTCCGTGAGAAGAAGGTTGGTATTCTCTTGACACCAAGTTGATATTAATTTGCATGTTTGTTTTATGCAATTGATGTACAGCTTCAAACTATGACACACTTTAACATCTAAATATATTTTTTCATTTATATATTAACTTATTTGTCTTTTAATATAATAATATATTCAAAATTTTAATATTTGAAATCATTAATTTTTATAACATTTATTTATTGTATAATGATATATTTAACTAATGTTGTTTAAAAAATAATATGGTCAATACATTTGTATTTATGTATTTGTTTTTAATTTTATTTAATACATAGTTTTTAAGAATTTATTTGATTTTAAATAAATATGAATTTAATTAACGTATATTGACTAAGGATTAAACTTATGTTTTAATGTCATTAGTTATTTTATAATTGGTTTGGATTAAGTTGTAATCCTTATCATTATTATTAATCAACATTATAATCATGATTAGCTTTAACAGTATCAGGTTATCATTATCAAGCATTATCATTCTCATCATCATCACTATTCTGTTGTTGTCCTTGCCATCACTGCCAATGTTACCACAGCATTGCTATTGTCGTGATCGCCGCCACTGCTAATACGTCATCGCCACCATTATATAAATAGTGCTTTTGGTGTTATCATCATGGGCTTAACACTTATAGAACTTCTTAATGTAATGTTTATTGTGTTATATAGTTTACAATACTTTATGATTCAAGCAGGTTGACAATAATAAGGGAAATTGATGTATGTAAGATATCGGGAAGATAGAGCGAACAAACTTAAAGAGGAAAGATCCAGTAGGGGGCATGGAAGGCACGTGTGTGCCCCACTCCCCCGTTTTTCCACTAAATTTTAAAAATTTCAATGCAGATCAATGTTATGTGCTACTCACTTACCTATTCTGAAACTGTTTTTCCCCCTGTTTCAAAAATTCTGGATTCACCCCTGGGAAGGGGAACATGCGTTAAGGAGAAAGATATTTTAAGGGAAAGGGAAGGCTCTGAGACTGACAAAAATTTGATTTGAGAGGGAGGGAGAGGACATTAAGAAGATTTAAGGTTTTCTATCTCCTTTAAAATTTGATGATGTTGATTTTTGATCAACAGATATAGGCCTACAGCATACCCATTTACCTGGTATGGATTAACTGTTAATTGTATTCAATGCTAATTCAAACCTTTTAGCAGCATGGCCTCAGTGGATTTAATGTCCCCATCATCCTAGCTTATCATGACAGTAATTTAGTTTTTTTTTCATTCCAGCGATCTAAAAGTGTTTGTTTTTTTTTTTTACATTTCTTAAATTGTATCTTTGCTTCATGCCTCAGTTACTCCAAGTTGGATGATCGTTTGTATGCACAGATACCTCTCTCTGTTCGCTATTGGTAATTGGCTCTTCATTTAAACACTAGCTTTTGATTGGTTCATCTGTACACAGCTAACACCTAACGGCATGTTGTTGCTTGTGTACTAAGCCATGTTTTTGACTTGTGTGTTATTGAATGGAATACTTTATGTCATTTTCAGATTGTTCACAGTCATCTTGGCTATGTTATTCTTAATGGACTTGTGCTCACGAAGAATGAGATTCTACTTAGACTAAACCAAATTTTTTGTAGTCGCACATTCCGATGATCTCAACATGAACCCAAAAATTCATTGAAAAAAAGTCGAAATTTACATTTTTTTAAATAAACACAGACTCAAGATATTTGTAAATCTTATTGACATTACCATAATTTATTTTAATTAAAAAAGAACATTATTCATTCCATTATTAAAAATAAGACTTAGTTTTTGAAAACTGTGAACAATTGTAAAATGATTTAAGTTATCAACAGGAATTTAAAGTAAAGTTTGCATGGTGCAATTTTAAATTACGTTTTTTAAGTTTTTTTCAAAAGAATATAATTTTGGTATTATTATGATCACTACAGATACAGTTTTCACATCTTTTGCTTGATGTCTTTTAAATTTTATTCTTGTCTTTTTAATTGATGATCGCTGTAGACTTGTATGTGGTTCATATTTAATTTATATTAAATGTATGATATATCTTGTGTACTTATTGGATGTGCTTGTACTCTAATAAAGATATATACATGATATCGTATTATGTGATCAATGTGTTCTATTGATATGTTTGCCTCTTCCTTTTTTGACAGTTTCTGTTTCCAATCCTTATAATTTGTTCATATCCCCTTCCTCCCCCTTCTCCAAACCTGCCTGCTTTAAGTAAAGCTTTTATTGAGTTTGTGGATTGTTACATTATATCATCATTATTATCATCATCATCATCCTCATCATCATCATCATCATTATGGTACTCATTTCCAACTTGCTGCAAGATGAAGGCCTCTCTAAGATGAGACCACAACCGTCTATTTCACATAGTGGTGATAAAAACAGAATTTTCCAACTATGAAAGCATCCTTGGATTCAATATAGTTGTCTCACTAAATTCTTGTTATTTGAATTTAGAATATTAAAGTATCGTATTGCTTTTAATGCATCTGTTATTTAATATTGTTTCAAAAGTTATATGCCCGATTACAGGTTGGACTTTAACATTGTCTTCATCAATCTATCAATCCTTTTGACGGTAAAATTTATCTGCGGGCACAAGGCTTAAAAGCTTCCAAATCAAAAATGTCACTCCAAACGAATTTCATGGTTTCTTGAGTTGTAGGGAAGCCCTGATGCGTAATTTGCATTTGGGGTTATTTTCTCTAATCATAGTCTCTGCAAATGTGGACATTCAACACAGTACTTATCAAAATATTTTGATTGATGGTATTGTTTTTGGCAGTTATGCAAACATCAAAGACGGAATTGCATTCCGCATCAAATTAACCTAAATGTTTACTGGCAGACATGATACTCGGTCTTATCACCATGGCAACAAAGATTATGAAAAGACCAATGAAAACCACTTGGGTTTTGAATCAGACATTAATATAAAACTCTTATTAAAATATCTCGGGTAATAATTTGTAAAATTATCCAAATTTGAAATAAAATCTCTGAGTGATTTATCATTTTTAAAAGTATTTGTTCTAATTACTGTTCTGTTACAGGAAAGGTAAAGATCCACTACCATCAACAGAGGGCATCATTTACTCAAACTCAAATGGTGAAGGTTAGTTGAATGCAACATTTTTATTTTTTTCATTTATATAATAATGTATTTTTTTTCACCAGGTTATATCTTGTATCCAAAAATGGATTGTTGCTTGTGAGAGTACAAAAATATAACTAAAAAACATAAAGAAATATAAAATTGTAATTTTAAAATTTATGTTAGTTTTACTTGCCATGACATATCGAATACCAGGATTTTTCCGACGGGGTGGGGTCGAGGTCCCCAACTGGGGTTGCTGATACCCCCGATGAGGGGCCAAATTTCCCTGACGAAAGCAAAGTGGGCGTGGTCAAGTATTGTTTAAAAGATTTAAAAAATGATTCAGGGGGCGAAGCTCCCAAAAATGTTGACAATTTAGAGGTTGCAAAGGCTTATTTAATTGATTTTAGAGTCTACCAATATGTAGGAAATACATAAAAAAATGTTTTTCTCCACGATGAATTGTGGTTTTTCTACCTGGGTGTGGGGGGGGGGTCAGCCCTCCTCGATAGGGTGCCTCTCCCCCTCCCCCGCTGGCACCACCCCTGAAAAACGCAATCTAAACATCAAAAAGCTCATCTAAATAGATCAAAATAAGTTATTGAACTCCAAAGATACACACTAATAAAATAGATGTTCACGCTTTTTTACAGGTATTTAAAAAATCTTTATTAAATTTATTACGGGCAAATTGTAGGGTCTATGCAAGATTATATTTTAGTATATTTATTGCATAAAAATCACAAACAAAACACAAGTACAGTAAAAAATTTGCAATTAGAAATTTGCATCATCAAAGAAAACATATACTGTACATAGTTCATTGAAACAAGTATTGTGTGGGGGGAGAGTCAGATAAACCAAATAAGGTTTTAAGATCGACCCACCCCTTATAAAACAAAGAAAAAAAATACAAAGACAGTTAAACAATTATACACGATTCTTTTAAAATAAGGAAACAAAAAAAAAAAAAAAAAAAAAAAAAAAAAAAAAAAAAAAAAAAACAGTAGTTGCTACACTTTTCAAATTGTTCACTTAACGCTCTTTTTATTTATATAATTATTAAGACGCAGCGTAATTCGATATTAGATGTTTTTTGTAGTTTGATTTAAAATTTAAAACAGATGGTGCAGTTTTAAGATTTTGATCAAGAGAATTCCACACTTTAGGTCCATTGAAATTAACAAAATTACGGCTAAAATTTGTCTGGCATTTGAACAAAATGTAATCATTAGAGGTACGTGTATGGTAATTGTAATTCACCATTTTTCTTAAAGTAATTGTTAAATGATTCTGGGAGGTAGTTATTAGCGTATCTATGCATAAATATTGCAGTTTGAAGCCTATTAATGTCAAAAATATTTAAAAGTTTTAAATGTAAAAAAAAGTGGTTTAGTGTGTGATAAAGAATTAGACTTGGAGCAAATGCTAAGTGTTTTTTTTTGTAATTTAAAGAGTTGATCTAATTTTGTTGCTTCTGTGCTAACCCATGGACATAGTTGTTGATGTTTGTTACCGTACCCCATACCAATTACAGTACGATAAATAAGGAAGAACCATTGTGTTGTATAAAGAAAATAAAATGTTAGATGGTAAACTATGCTGGTTTTTCCGTATTACGTCTACATTTTTTGATACCTGATCGGATATTTTTGTTATGTGTTGTTTCCAATTTAGTTGAGAGTCAATTACGGCGCCAAGAAAGTTTGTATGATCGGTTTCTTTTATCAGTAAATTATCAATTTTAATATTAAAGTTATTAGTCAACCTGGGATTTTTTCTTTGGTTACAAAAATATATAAATTTAGTTTTATCAATATTTAACGATAATCTATTTACTTTGAACCAATCTAAAATATTTGTTAATTCATAATTAAGTATTTCGAATAAAGTATTTTTATTTTTATGAGAATGAAAAATATTAGTATCATCTGCAAAGAATATGTAATTAAATAATTTCGAAGAATTTGCGATATCATTAACATAAATAAGGAAAAGTAATGGTCCTAAGGTAGATCCTTGGGGTACACCACACGTTACCGGCAGTAAGAACTATGAGAATTAAAATGTGTAAACTGTTTTCTGTCATAAAGGTAATTTGAAAGTAAAGAAAGTGGGAGACCTCTTATACCATAATGGTTAAGTTTGGATATAAGAATGTTATAATTAATAGTGTCGAAGGCTTTCGATAGATCCATAAAAACTCCAACGGTATGTTCATTTGCAGACAAGGCTGTAGAAAGTTTATTACAGATATCCAATAATGCAAGATCGGTTGAGTGGTTTTTGCGGAAGCCATATTGATTGGGGTGAAGGATATTATGCACATTTAAAAAGTCAATCAATCTGTTGTAAATTTGTTTTTCAAAAACCTTTGAAAAACATGGAAGAGAAGTTGGTCGGTAGTTAGAAATATTATGGCGATATTTTTTGTGAATGGGTATTATCTTTGCTATTTTGAATGCTGATGGAAAAACACCAGTAGTAACAGATAGGTTAAATATGACAAAGAGGATGGACTATAAATGGTGCTACCTGTTTAATGACACCAGCATTAATCTCATCATACCCTGTACTTTTACCAGATTTAAGTTCACAAAGAATCTTAATAGTTTCGTTAGCAGTGATAGGTGAGAAGAATATTGATTTGCTATTAGGTCTTGGCATGAAATCTAATGATGTTGTAGATGGTTGGCTAATTTTTGACGAAAGTTTGGAGCCAACATCATTAAAGTATTTATTAAACAAGTTAGCAATTTCATTCAGATCTGTTATTTTATTATTATTGTTATTATCGAAAAAGTATGAATCCTGTTTGTTCTTGTTTGTATTTTTACCTAATAATTCATTAATACTTTTCCAGGTTTGTTTAATATTATTTTTATATGTGTTAAATTTATTAGAATAATAATGTTGGCATGATACACGAATCATTATTAAAAGTATAGTGCAATATCAAATATTAAAAATTACATTAGAAACATTATTATATAGAAAGGTATTATTTATGTTGTTGAAGAAATTGTTTTCCCATTCTAAAAAAATTTTGACCGATGCCAGACTACGACCACTTTGGACCCCCGTCGGGCACCACCCCTGATAATAACTTACAGTAATTCTGGTTTTAATGGTGTAGTAAAGCTATAATTGTGTGAGAAGAGATTAATGTAAGATTTGTGTTAGTAATATTCTATCTTTATCATTTAAATCTGTCTGCTGCCCTCTATAGAGCTAAAACTTTTAAAATTTAAGTCACTATCCAATGACTTCTGGCTCTTTGAGTGAATACAAATCCACATAATTAACAAATTTAATTTGATCATTTGTAGGTTCTATTAGATGATTAAACAGATATGGAATAAATATTATTTTTCAAACAGGGAACACAAATGAATATTAATGTAATGTAAAAAAAACAAAAAACAAATTTTATATTTTCATTTGTAAATATATTCTTGTATATTTCATAGTTGCTCTTCCACAACTCACGAAGGCGCGAACCTACGTTGATCCTAGTATCTATGGCGACACAGATCGTGCTTTGAAAGAGTTCACAACTGAGATAGAGGCAAATTCAATCAGGATCATTGCAGTCATTGGAGGGGGTAAGGTTGTTCAATACTAATAATCATAAATTATCATGTTAGGATTAAGCTAAAACGTTTTATACTTTACTAATTAATAATGGTTTAAATTTTATTAAGACTTTTCTCTGGGTCTGAAACTTACAAATACAGGTAGATTCCCAGACGGCCTATCATTGCATTATGCATTTGAGTTGTCACCTCTACACTCTCCTGGTCACTGTCATTTGCTATTGTTTCAAGCCTTAGCACAATTATTAATTTCCAATCTTTTTGATTATTTGCATTTCTCTTCAGGTGAATTTGGCGATGTGTGCAGTGGTTTCCTTCGCCAGGCAGATAATTCAAATCGTAAGGTTGCTGTGAAAATGTTAAAACCTGGTGCTTCTGAGCCGGATCGAAACAACTTCCTTTTAGAAGCGTCCATCATGGGACAATTCCTTCACCCCAATGTGGTTGAGCTTCTTGGCGTTGTGACAAAAAGTAAGAAGATGATGAAAATAGTGCAGTGCTTGTCAATGTGTATTGGTTTATGACTGGCAATCGCTAGATGTTTGCTTTCACTATGCGTAGATTTATGAATTATGTAAATGTAATCAAACTATAAAACGTAGCAGGTTTTTCTTTTAGAGAATCTCTTTAAGGAATAGAACAGCAGTAGCACTTTGAGCCCGACTCAGTTTATTTATTATACAAGCTTTCACCAGCAATCTATGCCAACTTTATCAGGTGCACCAAATAAAGCTGTCATGGACTGCTGTACCTCATGAAGCTACTACTGGCAAAATCTTGCACAATATATTATTTGAGTTTGTCAATTAAGTTGCTACCGGTGTTCTATTTTTTTATATTTACCTAACATGGCTTCATCTACTGTCTTTAAGGTCATATGTCATGATTTCATTTTGTCATTCTAGCTAATGAGCCTTGTAATGTGACAACATATAACTAATAGATATAATTATGTCATTAATGGATAATTTAATACCTACTTAAGCATTGTAATGTCTTGAATTGAAATTAACTGTTCTTGATGGTTGTGATTATCTTGCTTCAAACAATTGAATTGAATTTCCGAAGTCAGTAAAAGCTCAATGTCTGCTTAGTTTTCTGTCATGTAGGTATTGAGGAAAGTAACTTATTCAAGGTTTATGGCTATATTCAGAGTAACTCTTGTATTTTTCCTGTCCAATTATTTTCTCTCTTCTTTTATTTTATTTTTCCATTTAATAATATTTTCTCTTACTTTTTTTTACAGCTCGTCCAGCGATGATAATAACAGAATTTGTTGCGAATGGTGCACTTGATACATTTCTTCGTGTAAGTTGAATTATTTTTTATTGGTAGGCATGGTGATGCGCACATTTTTCTTAATTACATATAGAATTTAAAGCGTGATAAAAATTAAATGATATGGCCTAATATTCCTTCCACTATTAAATGAATCATTTTCATCGTTATTGAGGGCTAGTTAGCTCTGCAGTAAGGAATTTGTTGCAAAGTGACTGAGATAGAAGCTTGTCAATGCCTTACTTCTGTGTGCCTTTGGTTAAAGCCCATTGCTCATCCTTTGGATGAAAAGTTAAGCCGTTGGTCCTGTGTACATAAAGGCACATGTCCATAAAAAAATTGACACAGTGTACTGTTGTAAAGAGAAGGGTCTTTTGGTGTACTGACCGTTGACCTTGATATAGATGAGGCAATGCAACAGTAATGCTGTGCGTCGCCAGATGCCCAATTCAAATGTTGTTGTTGATCACAGCAAGGACCATATACATTTTAGATGTACATTTACGTTGTTGGATCTGCTCCCATCTGCCCCCATTTACCACCTTCACATCTCTTCTTCCCTTCCAAAATATAATTGTGAATTCACTATGCTGATCCAGTGAACTACAGTTGAATTTGCCTAAGTCCAATCCAAAATGCCATTGAAATATTGTTCGACTTACAGGTAGATAAAATTTGACTTACAGGTTGTTAATTAATGGAAAACACTGCAATTTGTCCTGTAAAATATGAATGACTTAGGAATTATTTGACTTAGGCACAATTGACTTAGGCAAGTTTAACTGAATTGTCATTGATAATTCTCCCACTTCCCATAGGAACATGATGGTCAATTCACAATGATCCAACTAATAGGAATGCTGAGGTGTATTGCTTCGGGAATGAGATATTTATCGGAGATGAACTATGTGCACCGTGACCTAGCAGCCAGAAATATACTAGTAGACGAGACACTTGACTGCAAGGTCGCTGACTTTGGTTTATCACGAGAAAAAGAGGAGGGAGCTTATGAGACAAAGGTAATTCTTGTAATTCTTGAGTTTATTGCATTTCTGTTTTCTTATATATTTAGCATAGTTGTATATTATTTAGTTTTATTTTAATTGTAAATTTAACTTACTTATTTTGTGATTTTTAGGGTGGAGGTAAAATTCCAGTGAGATGGACATCACCAGAGGCAATATCCTACAAGAAATTTACATCAGCCTCAGATGTCTGGAGTTATGGAATTGTAATGTGGGAAGTGGTATCTTACGGAGAGCGACCGTACTGGAACTGGTCAAATCAGGATGTATGTATTAATTGTTCAAACTATTTGTATATTGCTATGGAAGGATGAGATTTTACTTTCCTTTTTAATTTCAATTCATTGAATAAAGTTCTAGTACTCGCTATCATCATTTGAATAACATGAAACTGCTGAGCTGTATAAAAATTAACATAATTATCATGAATTTTATTTATTTTATAAAAATGCTATATACTTTCTAATTAAATAAGGAACTAATATGTTCCATTTCAGGTTGTACAAGCCGTGGAGAAGGGCTATCGTCTTCCACCTCCAATGGAGTGTCCCCAGGCAACTTACCAGTTGATGTTGGATTGCTGGCAGAAGGATCGACTGCACAGGCCTACATTTGGAACTCTGGTGTCTACTCTGGATCGACTTGCCAGAAACCCAAGCATACTCATGAACTTGGCAAAAATTAGGTAAGTGCTTAAAAGCCATACCCATGGAAGGTACAAAAGAGTGGTTGTTATCCCTGTAACGTGTGAAACTGATTATTGGAGGAAGCAAACTTAATATATAAAGCAAGGAAGACCATAGTTATAGGTTGTATTTTTGTATTTCTTGTACAGTTTTTATCAGGTTAAATATTTTATAAAGTGTTCAAGTTGAGCAATCAAGACATAAGTTGGTCATTGTGTGATCATATAACATGTTCATGCCGAAGTAGTTTGATCTATTTTCTTCACTCCGTTTTGTAAACAATATATTTATAGTATTTTTATTTTTTTCAGAGAAAATCCCCTAGATACTGCAATTCAGGAGATGAGCAAATTCCAAAATGTGGAAGAATGGTTAGAGAGCATGAAGATGTCACGCTATCGTGACACATTTGAGCATGCCGGGTATGTCAAGCTCCGCGATATAGCTCACCTCTCGGCTAATGACCTGCCTCGTCTTGGGATCAATCTCGTTGGTCATCAGAAAAAGATCCTTAAAGGAATACAGATGATCCGTGCACGTATTGATTCTAGTGGTGAAACCTTTGTATGATGTAACAGAGATGGACTTGTAACGTTGTAGTGGATGTTATCTAAAATTGATCAATGATCAACTAATGAAAACCTGTCATCACAGCCTATACAGTTATACTGTAGCACTAGGATGAAAAAATTAAGAAAATGGATAAAGAAAAAGAGAAAAAATATATAAAATAAAAACTGAAAGAACAAATATAGTGATAAGAGAGCATTGTGAATATGAAACAGATACCTTGGTGATACTAGAAGTGAACAGATAACCTTCTTAATATCATATGCAAATTTGTACCATATTAGTGACAACCACATGGTATATATGCAAATATATGCATATACCTTCAATACAGTGTTATGAGATCAGCACATACAGTAGTTATTCTCTACCAAGTGATCTATGTATGGCTCAATATTAATTAACATATTACTAATTTGCATAATGGCAGTCCTAAGTCTCATGTGATTCAGTATCATTTTTAGCAATAAATGTTTCCTGAAATAATGTGTAAAAAAGTTATTAATATTCTAGGGAGTGTAAAATAAAGGTTATTTACTTCCTCAGAGGTGGTCCCTTTAATTAAGCAATCAGGATTTTTACATTCAATATGTCTGCCAGGATTAATGCAGGTACACTCTAACTGATCACATGACCACACAAGACTGTTTCTCTAACGATGCTCAAATCAGAAATACTGATTTGTATGAAAGAGTACATTAAATATAAAAAACAACCATTACCAACTTGTAAAAGGGTGATAACTATGTCTTTCCTTTGTATTACTAATTTGAGTTAATCTCACTATTTTAAAGCTCATGATGAGAATAAAATGTATATTTTGTATTATTTTTGTTCGCTTTTCCCAAGAAATGTCTCTTAAAGAAATGGATTGGAATCCTCTTGGAAAATAAAGATATTTTTGAAGACTGTTTTATGTTTGTGCAGTTGAAATAAAATAATGGTTATACCTATCACAGAAATCATTAGTATGTAAAATATACATGATATTATATAAAACAGATGTATATTTTAAAACAGACATTGACATGCATGAGTAGTTATACAAGTCCAATGGCCAAGTATCAACTGAAGAGTATTTACTTTAATCATATTTAAAATGTGCATGTCTAAAATTTGCATATTATAATTTGCATATAATTTTGCATATTTTAAATGTGAAAATTTTAGATTTGCATATATTGTATGGTTTTGATATAATATAAAATGTTCAGATTTTCTTTTTGGAAGGCATTTGAAATGTTTATTCAATTTTATTAAGTTTTAACTTGTTTTAACTTCCTTGACTAGAGACAATTGGTTCAAAAAAATAATATTGATGGTATGATTTTCTAATGCATATTTTAAATGCAGTTTGATATAGGATTTTATGTTTGTTGTTTATATTTTTTAACTTTTTTTTTAAAAGTTTTTTTTATCTATGATCTGGAAAAACAACATCTCAAATTTAAAAACTTTATAAGAAAAGAAAATCAATAAAGTAGAATAAAGTTGTTTTGTTTTTTTGGGGTTTTTTTCTTCATTAATTTCTTAGCTAGATATATCTAGCATGAATTAATCCTTTATTCACATTTGTTTGGAACATTGCTGTAGTTCCACAAGTTGTGGGCTGATTATAAAGACTTTCTGAACAGAAATGGAAATGTTTTACAAATAGAAAATTTACCCTTTTAAATGTAGTAACGACTGCCTTGTTGATACACATATAATCGCTAGCAGACTGCAAAGCGAGACTTAACTGTGTCAGCTAGTTTTATATTTGACACTTTTATATAAAAAAATCCCAAGCGTGTAATTCATCAAAGTTGTTTTAGGTCTAGATTTCCAAAAATAGTCAGAAAAAATCATGTTAAGAGTTCAAATGACCCTTTTTGGTGAAGGACATTTTGTGTGTCAACTGATGGACTGCTAGTGGTCCGTTGCAAGGAATAGACAATTTGTATCTTTATAGATTTGCCAGTCACAGATAAATGACATTTCTCTTTTGCAAGATTCTACGTTATCTGTAGGATATAATATTCTTGCATTGCTTAGAATAGTACAGACAATTATAATAATATGCTCTGCTGTAACACATCAGATCTTTATTTAGTTTTCATCAGATTCCTTATCATTTTGAGCTTCCATATCCCAGTTGAATATAGTCCTACCTCTCCTATAGATACTTGATAGCCTACTTATTTTTGCTGTGAAAACTAGATTTATATAACGTCTGCAACCGATAGGGTGTTAATATTGACAGGGAAGGTGGCCTCATTTACTTCCACGACGATTTTGTAAAAATGGCTGCATATAAAGTTAATGGGTTGTACCAAAGAGTATAAATAGATCTATTTATACTCTTTGGTTGTATTGACGAAAACAATGAACATATCAATAGGCTTTATTGGACCACTTAACATTACTGAATTAGTACATACACATTTTCTAGTAACTCAACAAACTGCGTATCAAGACTCGCGTATGTGCGCAAGTTATAAGTCCAGTGCTAATGAATAGTAGTGTATGACACAGTTATATGCACTCTGATACGCACAGTAAAGAATGAGTACTTTAAGGCCTATAAATGAACAAATCAGCCTGTTGTAGTGCCAATCTTTTACATTATTGAGTAGCATATTTTTTTTTAGTTTATTATAAGTAATTTTAATTTACATTATGCATATTAAAAAAACTGTATTTGACTTGATTGTCCTGCACAATTATTTAAAGAAACCTTTGAGTTCAAAATTATTATTTATTTAACAGTTACATTAATTTATATGATTATACATTGTGTTGTGTATTTTGTTTTTGATCTACTATGTTGTGTGTATTGATTTTAATAATGTTCGTTGTGTGTTTAAATCAACTAAAGTTGAAACAAAAATTTAGAGGCTTCTGTGTAAAATATAGATATTGTATTTCTAGAGGATTTATTTACATTAATGCAATGCTCTAGCGAACTCCTGTACATAAGATATTAGCCAAAAATGTTGTAAAAATTGCAAATTTACCCGGGGTGATTAATAATCGATCTATATAGATATATTAATTAATGGTATTGATTAGTTAATCTATTAAAAGAAGGTCGATTTTAAGTAGAATAACTTACGAACTAGCAATATAATGTGTAGCATGATTGGTTGTAATTATGGAAAAGGAAATAAAAATGCTTGTGTAAAAATTGCTGTATTTTGTTTGAATTTATCCAAAGAGGTTTCTAACGAGTGAATGTGTGAGTGGGTGAAAGGGTGATAATATAGTGACACGAAATTAAGGCGATCGTCGTCAAAATCATGATCGGAATCAGTGTCATGTTCATCAATATGATCAATGAAATGCTGATGATAATGTGATGATGAACATCAACAACTTCCTCAACGGTGTCATCATCATCATCTTTACCATCCATCCATCCATCATCATCGACGACATCGCCACCATTAGCATCGTCATCGAATGTGTACGAAATTACTTTTTTAATCAAAAATATGAACCGGTTAAATAACTAAATACAATTATCTCTATTACCTATTACCGTATCTATTATCTTTATTGGTGCATGGTGGTTAGATCTGCGCGTATATCTTATAGGTCTCCATGGTCTAATGGTTGTGATACTCGCCTTGACAGTGAGAGGTTGCAGGTTCGAATCACACCAGACAACTTTTTTCATACAATTGAGTAAAGGAAGATTTAGTTGAAGGGCTATGCTTGATACGATTTTAACATCGTGTTTCTATTTGAGCACATCTTGTTACATTTTGTACCACATGATCCGTAAAAATCCCCCACTGGAATACCCTAGCAATGGCGCCTGGAGGGAGAATAATCACTGTACATGGTAGTATCGGTCTAAAGCTCATGTGTTTTTGTTGAAATTTGTTTCTTAACATAAATAACATTCTTTTTTTTCAAAAATAACATTAAAATGAGGCTAACCTATCTTTACTTAAACATTAAGGAACATTTTTGACAATTCTAAACAATTTGAGGCAATGTCTGTTCCTATCAGGTTTAGCTGATGAGACAAACCGTTAATTACTGTTTTTAAAAGGTTTATTTGGTGCCTACCACGGCGTCCAGCGAAAAAATAAGAGCTGTTAAAGCAAAATTCAACGACAAACTGGTGATAAACAAACATCCAAGTTCTATTTGCATTTTTTCTCGTCCAGAGATTTATTCAAAAATCTTCAATAAGAAAAAAAAAATCATATTTACATTGGTTCTTATATTAATTAAAATATTGTTACAGCTGGCTCGAATCAAAGGTATTTGTTCCCGTAATAATTTTCTTCTCCGCTACCGTATAGTGTAGAGTATGTTCTGTCTGATACGTCACTGAGGATAGGCCCATTAAGCTCTTTTTCGGTGGTCTGGACCATCTTAAGAGCAATACGTAACTGTTGCCGCAAATACGGCGTACAACAGCCACGCACCTAACCCCTGACTCATTGAGACTTCGTATAATGCACCTTATAAGTCGAACATTGGATTGGATTGAATTAGAACCCGCTTTCGACGTTAGTATGTAGCCTACAAAGAAGCGTAAGTGACCAATCTGGGTAACAGTAACGATATTATATCCAACTTTTGGCAGTAATGCAAACGGTTTAGTTTTTTTATGCCATCAGGTACGGCAACAAACCGTAGCTCCTATAAACATTACGATTGCCACTTAATTACGTCAGCTTTGAACGTAAACCTAAGAAAAATATGATTTGATGCTAATACTGCTTATTCAATGTGTTTTTGAATTACAAGACAACTTAGGCCTATCTAGGCCAATATCAATTGTGTCTTAGTTAATAATAGAAATATAACTAATAATATTTATAATTAGGCCTAATATTTAATGAGAGAAACCCTTATTTACATACACGTTTCTAAAATGTGCCACTCAAAAAATTGAGTCTATCTTTATTGAAAACGAGCGGCAAAAGTATTTTACCATATATTTATTATGTTAGTTTTCTTTTCTTTTCTTTTATAAAATCAACAATTGCATTTATAACCTGGTACACACTACGTCGGCGACGGTCGGTCGCCGCGATTCAGATACGAGTCTACGACGCTGTCTGCCGGTTCTCGGTCGTTTGGTCTAGTATAAGCGAATCGTCGTCGAAAACGATTCGTCGCACGGCGCCTATCATCGCGTTACAATCTCTGGAAATTGCGTTGGTGGACAAAATGGCCGGCGTTGTGTGCACCTGGCTTAAGTTTATCCATTGATGTGTGTGACAGAGTAACACAATTTAACTATCTTCTGTTTTTCTTAAATACTCATATAATATATGCTATGCAATATTGTGTCACTTAATTACAATTACAATTTATCCCAAATAAGATCGTCACTCAAATTAAGTTTAAAATTAATATTTACATTTATTGATTAATAACGCATAGAGACTATCCACAATATATAATAATTTTCTCCAACTCGATGTAAACGCGACGCAAACTTCCAGTGCTGTATAAATGTTTCAGCGAATGTTGCGTCGTTACACCAGTACGTCACGATTTCCACTGTCCTCATGTTGTAAATCAAAGTGTCTTACAAAGTTGCTATGGATATTTATAATGTTTTAAATATGAATACTTCTTATGTACTTTATACGTCAGGATTTCACAAACATCAAGACTCGAGACAGTCGGCATATTCTTTTATTAAATCGATCACAACCGGCGGATCCACGTTACCGCCTGTTGACGTACTGTTATCTGTGTAGTCGATTCGTAAGCATGAACGCTGTTTAGACAAACTACTGACCCACCAGCATTCCATAGAAATCAGAGCCACTCTGAATAGTTACCGTCGTTCCTGAACTGTTGTCCACGTATATCGATGCGTATTGGCTCTCCTAAAGAATAAAATGTAAAAATAGGTGAGTGCTACACACACTGTGTGAACATTTCACCTTCTGTTGTACAATTATATAAACCTAAAAATTCAATTTGTGACAGTTAAATTTAAAAAGGAATGTACATTGTGATATAGGCACATTATGCGATGGCAACAGAATTTGAGCAAAAAGTGATTGGATTGGATTTGGATTTATTTGGTATAAACACCAAGGACAGCCCACGAAAGTCTAGAAGACTTATTTCCAGTGGGGTCCTTCTGGTGGTGATTGGACAGTACATCGGGAGACAATCCCCTGCTCTTTTCCGAAGAGCGTACTGCGTTCTTTAACGTACACATGGGCCATAAATGCACACGGGACCAAAGGCTTAAAAGTGTCATCCAAAAGACGATGCGCTATTGTAACTTGTATTTCAACCCTGATACACAAGGAGAGGTAGTGATGGGAATTAAACCGGGGACCTAGATATATCCACGGTTTAGATACCAAACTGAGCACCCTCTTTATCTTACCTCTAACTTCAGAAGACCGCTGACAGAGACAGTGAATACACGGCTGTTGCTTTCAAGACCGGATATATATTCTAACGACCTTTAAAGAAAAAAATAAAAGTTACTTTCAACTGCAAAGTTTAAAAAAAGATATCAAAAGACTTATATATAGAATATAGGAAACGAATACCATGTATAGACCTTAGGATAGGTCGAAATATTGGTTTTCTCCAATAAAGTGTTTCTGAAGTCTATACATGGTATTCGTTTCCTATATTCTTTTGTTATCGTACCGAAACACACGTGGAACCTCACTATGTTGTATATATTATATATATATATGGTGTTAAACAATATTAATTAACGTTTTCAATATTGAAACAACTCACAGGGAAAATAAGTTTCATTATTTATTATAAGTTTTCTTTTAAGTTAATTACGATTTGATAATTCTGTCAAAATGGTTACGTACGTGTGTCTGTGACAAAGAGAGTCGATGCAAATTAGTACTCGAATGTGGTCTCTGTTTTTAAGTTCACGTAATCGTTTCTTTGATGTGGGATGGTTGATGTGGAGATTAGCCGATAACTGGTAGATCCCCGTTTTCTCAGCTGTGTACCTGCCTGTTTTCACATCTAAACCGTCGCCTCTTTTAAATGAACCGCCACCAAAAGGCTGCGAAGGAATATAAGTATAACATTTGTAAATAATACCGTAGTAATCCGTGGACCTCTTTCGGTTTGACTTCTATCTGGTGCGTGATAGCAGGTAGTAGGTGGATTGTGTGCCAAAGACTGAAACTGTACAACTACTGTTTCAAAATTTCTTTTGACATTTTCATGAAGTATAAATAATCATAACATTATATTTACCGTCTGAAAATTTGTCACTTCTATTAAGCTTTTCTTAGGGACGGTCAAACTTCCTTTCAACTTGCAATGGTAGGCGATGGGCAATGGTGCCGGCTCTGGAAGCAAAACCGAATCTGTGACTTCGGGTAGCCATGTCTGTGTGGTGTTCACTTTGCAATTAGGACACTAAAAACAAACAAAACAAAACAGTGTTAAGCCTTTTAACGATAATGCATTTTCTTAATCTGTAGCTGAAAACATCTGCGCGTTCTATTCTCTGACGAAGTATACATTTATACTTGCGCCCTCTCTCTGGTACATTTCAGAAACTTTTACTAACGTCAGTGGCAGCATTTAACGTGGTTCAGAAGCGATTCACCAAGACATGAAATCCTTCCTTATAATATAGGCTTATGCTTTTATTTTGTCATTTATTGTATCGAATTTAAATAATATTTTTGGCGAGCTTGAATTAAAATCGTCAATTCTGAAATCCTAATTGTATTGAACTTTTTCAATTTCCGCTGTATTGATAGGCTACATGGCTGATAAAAGTTATTTATTGTTAATTAATGTAGGCCTTGTAGCTCAAATCATCTACGTTTAATTTATCCTACTTGAGCCTAAAAATTATCCATGGAAACCTAGGTATAAATCATCCATTTTCTAGTTAGGCATTCTAATATCTAGTATATTTGGCAACTCGGACAATATCAAAAGCAAATTTTGACTTTTATTGCTACAATCAATAAAAGGTATCGTTTAGTAATCGTCGGTGTAGTTACAACAAACTCAACCTAATTTAATAAATGGATAGTTTGGAAAGTTGGCGATGACAGCCTGGTCACGTGCCGACATCGAAACTCAGTAAGTTGGCAAACCTTGAACAGTTTTATTAATTCAAACGCAGAGTAAACAGAGACTTACCCTTTCCTGTACTATTATTTGCGCTCTTCTTTCGGCTGCTTCTGGGGGAAACAATGACGTATATTACACATTTGATTGGGCTCAAGTTAACGAACGAAAGATCAATTTGGCAATGTCATTGTCCACGTCATAGTAGCGCACATCGCTATATAAACATGCCGTCGCATGGAAATGTGAAATTTTTCAGTATATAAATAAGATGTATGTCGTTAACATAATTGGCCTAGATTACGCGAGTGTTTATTGACCGTTGTGGCGCCAGGCGGTCTTAACCGTCTTGGCCAACTTCTCACTTCTCTCGTTGTCGGGATGCAAAGGGTTTTAAGGAGTTGAAAGATCGCATATTTAGAGATTCGTCGATGAAATTCAAAGTTAAATTCCATGCGTCATCATTTACTAATATTGCGACAAAATTTATATAAAAAATAATAATAACCATGTGTTATTAATTAATTTTATTTGGTAATAATTAAGTTCACATTTTAGTTATGGTTATTAAAATCAATTTGACTTACCTCGAATTAAATCTTTAAATTCGCTCATCAATTCTTCTTTAGTTACCTTGGCCCCAGGTGGACCGGGTGGTCCTCGTGGTCCAGGTGGTCCTTCGGGCCCAGGAGGACCATGCTGAAAACGAAAGCATTGGAAGTATTTTGACAACGGAACTCAATAATTGATACAAATATGGAAGGAAAGTACCGTACTGTAAAACTGAATAGAAGCTATGCCTAGCCATCTTTGTAGATTCATGCTTTTGTTTTTGTTATCATTTCATTGCTAAAATGACATGCATCGTTATGACTTGACTTGACAAATTATATCTACAATTGCCATTAATATTGCTATAGGCCTCGGTATACTAGGACTACAATTAACACAATAACTCATTATGTCGGCGACCTGACGAGTCATTACCCCTGGATCCGATGATTCAATAACCTTAGCACAAAGGTATAAATGGGGCCCAAGTCAAATGCGTTTAGGCTGAAACATTGTGCACCTGACAATGTGAGTTCATTCATGACGCTGCATTTATACAGTCGTGAACTCTGTAAGTGGATGGTTGTCTGTTATACCTCCATGGTTGAAATGATGTGAACCGACAGAGGGGACGACTCGTCGTTCCAAAGGACAATTAAGTACGGGGTGAGCGATTGTTCATTGATGATGATGTACTGCGAAAAAGGAGCTAACCTCAACAAATCTATTGTACCACATGACCGTTTCCGCAGTACTAACGTAAGCCTAACGCTTCGCCACAACAACACCAATTATTTCATCAGAGAATTATCGAAATGGTCACATGTTTTCCTTTCCAACCACGAAAGATTTGAAAATGTATACAATTTTGATTTATTATAGACCTAGACCCAAATATGAAGACATTTCAGTAATATTTATATAGGCCTATAGAAATAGACACTAATAAGCCTATGCAAAGAAAATTGACTGCCTACAGGTCCATGGGCATATTACAATTAAAACAATTAAAAAAGTCCTGTATTGAATTGAAATATCTGACACATTCTCGGGCGTACTTTCTATGGTATTTGCATCAATTTCAGTTTTCTTTATTGAATGTTTCATTTCAGGAAATGTACCTTGTTAACCAGAGGATGCTTCACTCAGTAAGTTGATACAATATAATATGTGTCTATTCTTGACCTCTGAGATCTACACGCCTAATTGAGCGTTGTATTGCGACCTTGACTGGCCAAGTACATGTTGTCTAATCATTAGGGATTTCCGGACCGATTTAACGATTTCTTGGGCATGCTACTTAAATTTGATTAACAACTTTATGAACAAGTTAAAGGAGTGTCTTTTTATCAGTTGTCCACTTTCCACAAGTACCGGAGGTTGGAATGTGCTATTGTCCGGTTGAACAGTTCGAAAATTTAAATCATAAACGTTACCGTTTTTTTTTTCCTAAGGTGAAAAAATTACGTATATATTACGGATTTACCTTGCTTTTACACAGGACCATTTTCAAATATTTCATTTCCTTAATCATAGGCCTATTTGTAATATTTTAAACATACATCATAAGACACTAATTTAATAAAAATGTACGAAATGTTCTCCGCTATTTTTTAGACATTCTTGTCAATATATTACGAGATGATTAAGCCTCAGAAACCAGAGAAAGTTAGCCGGAGAAATTGCAGTAAATCTGGAGTCTTCCCACAGGAAGGTAACACGGCGTCTTACCAGAGTTCTATCTTGTTTTTTCTTCTTGTCTGCCTTCTTCTTGTTGTTTGCATTATTTGATGAATGACGAACAAATGACAACCAGCTTCCGTGGGGATCAACTTTCCCACTTGCATCTTTTTCTGCTCCCTGAAAAATATTTAAAAAAAAAAACCCAATAAAATAATGACACTTTATAACCGAAAATGATGTTTACTTATTCTAAAATACTATGTAGGTCTGTCTGATGGTTGCTTGAATTGTATTTTTCAAAATGTTTGATAACGTACGATACAAATACTAAATTGGATCTTCATCTTCAGTGTTCCAAAAATGTTCAGTTAAACAAAACAAAATCAAACTTTAAAAACATGATTAATATCATATTTCGGTCGACTAATGGTTATAATTGGCACACAGAATCAATATGGGCAACTTTCCAATCAGTTTCTAAAAAATATATACGATTTGTGACCCTAAATCCGCAACCAGATGTTATATTCCTCGTACAAATTTAACTAAATCAAGCACTTGCGATTATTGCGAGTTTTAAACAAACAAATACAGGGAGGAGTAAATTATGAATCAATCGATTTATAATTAATTAATTAGTTCTAATTAGAGACACATGGCCTCATTGCTATCAAACATCGCGAACCCAAGCAAAACATAATATAGGCCTATGCATGATGTATGTATATCGTAGTGGGATAGCGAATGATACTGAGGTCTATACGCTGGAATACAGTAAAGAGTACTGTATACTTGAACAAGACCACCACTATATAGAAACTGACCAACAGTTGAAAAGAATAATAGTCTCAAGTAAGAATTGAATATTCCTGTCCTATTAACTCATAATATCTGGCCTAATATAAAAGTTTATTCTCAAGATATCGCTTCTTTTATAATTCCTACATATAGTTTTATGCAAAGTTGTTTTGATATCTAATTTTAGGGAAAGTTCTACGGTTTTAAAATAATTACTTATATGGCTATTGCAAAAAAACACAGATGTAATCTCACGAACACAGAGTGTAATAACTGCGGTTTCTATAGAATTTACTCGAACTATTCGAACTTATTTTCATTATTAGAGCATTGGCTTGTAAAGGTGGTATAAGCTTCAACACACCTTGAACATTAGGGAGATTAACGATAGCAAATAAGGCTCTGGATTATTCTTAAATTGCATCAGTGCGGATTAGTGACACCTAATTTAATTGGCTAGGCGGCAATTAAAGCGGCGCGGACAACTGGGCGCGGACGATGTGAAAAAAACAGTGAAATGAGAAAGGCAAACATTAGAATTGTATCGGTGAGAGTAGAATATGCCATGCAATCACGACAGATTAAACATATGTCTATAAAGCCTGTATTAAGTTAATCTCGGCCAGGGTTTTAGAATACTGAACGCCGTCATTCGACAAGAGATTACTGTGAGAGTGATTCACGCCTCCGCCCGTAATCTCATTCGCAGCCGTGCGTATTAATATAGGTAGTTTTTCGTCTTTTGTCATCAATGTTTTCATAAGATTCTAGAATTTTAATGTTAAATACAAGGGGAAGCTCAGCTCTGTTTCGAAGTTCAGCCGTTATGATATCGTATTAGAATTATATTGTGTATTTTTATATAAGAACACATTTTATAAGAACACATTTTATAAGAACACTGAGGCTGAAATTGCCTAAAACTTAAAATATTTCTGATGAGGTTTTTAGTTAAAAAAAAAACTGATGTACAAAAATAATTTTCTATGCTTGAAAAGTGTTTAAAAATAAGATCAAAATAAGAATATTTTGAATCTAAAATCGGCAAAAAAATTAAAACACTGAGCCTTAGAAAAATTGTTACTGGTTCTTATAAAGTGTAGTGAACATCCTGCTTTTCAACCAAGCTATGAAAAAATAATATTCAAATTTGCCTAACCAAAAAAATTCAAGCTTACGTCCTTCATTCAATAGATAAAAGTATTAAACTCAAAAATTTCAGAAGCTTTTTTTTTGTGTATAGCTTGGTGAATCAGGCCTGTTGTTACCATCAATATTGATGACAGGCGGCCAAATTTTTTTATATTTTATTTAATTTATAAGCCATGAAATATTAGCACTTAGGGCTGAAACAGCGTGAGCCACTTCACAACCTATTAGATAGGCCTATTTCAATAGGCTCAGATTTGAAAAAAGAGAAATAGAATTCAAGATTTGTATTTCTTTACTCCCTTTTTTATTTAAAGCAAGATGGACAGTCGGTAGAAGTGAATGGTGATAGAGGAAGCCAGCTGAAGGAACTTTTGAAGATTTGTAAATGAGATCTCGGGAAAGAGATTTGGTGATTTTTCCCGACTCGTTGTCATATAGAAGATATGTTCGATATTTTCTTGATTTTTATTTACACGTGACGATAATTAACTAACTTAATAATAATAGCTTAATTTACAGTAATTTAGTTGACGGTACAGCTGTGGCTCTTTATTAACCAGCAATGTCGGTATTCTTCTTTGAAGTTCACAGATCGCATCACGAATTCTATCCGCAATAAATCGATAATAGAATAAATTTCAAATGCCTGGATCTGGCACCTTATTTACACCCTAAGCCTAATTCGAATGCTCTTGGGGTCAACGGGACGACTTTATGAAACACCTACTGAATCAGTTACCAATTACAGATCGTATCTACTAAGGCTTTTCATTTATTTATTTAGCATCCATTCAAATACAACAATTTACAAAACAAAGACATATAAAAATCAGATAAAAATTGAATGTAGAAACGGAGAATACATGCATGGACGACCCATAAAAATCAACTAAAGTTGATTTATTTCCAATGGGGTCCAAAGCAGAACATCAGAATCAGTATATACATATAGAGTCCCAGATATATAAAATACGGTACGATATTTAAGAAATAGGCTTATGATTATAAAAATATAAACTTAACGAAAAGATAAATATGAGCATATTAAGAAAAACGCAATCAGGATAGTTATACAGGGATATCAGCAATAAAAGGGCTTTTAGCTTCGATCTGAACAGCATCTCGCTTTCAATAATTTTTAAATCATTGTGAAGAGCATTCCAGTCTTTAATACCTAAATTGAAGAAAGGCTGACCCACGAACGATAGGCCTATATGTCTCATAGTCCTTTCGGACTATACTTTATAATGCAATAAATAGATAGAAGTTTTACACACGGTAATGGAATTATAAAAATTGGGGAAATTTGTGAATCTATTACAACATCAGTGTTTGAAGGAGACTTCATCTGCAGAAGAATCTCGCACCGTAGGCCTAATCCTGAAATCGACGCTAAATGGAAGAACGTTGTGGAACACCAGCGGAAATTCACGTAGCTTTTTGGAACGTTAAACATTCATCTAATAACGTGATATCAGCTAAGCTTATTCTTTGCAAAAATATGTTTATAAATTTTTTTTAAATTCTACAAATATGTTGTTGAACTTGATCGTGAACTGCAAGAATATTTCAGAACAATCGGTGTTGTTGTTTCACGTTCGGTTGTCTGCCTTTCACAGTATTTATAATTACCGCGCGCTCTTTGTCCACGCGGCGACGTAACCTTCAAATCAAGTGATCCTAATCTCATATATATGTTGCGCTAGGTTATGTGGAGCCGTCCTAATCAACTTGAGGGGGTTGATAATATCAGCAGTCGGCTTACAATAGGTTTAGATGATCTTCAAATCATCGGAAATATTACATTTATTATTACTTTGGTAATCCAGATTTAATCTTTTTAAATCTTAATCGCGAATACAATAAATAGGCCTATACACCGATTCGTTTAGTTTCGTCCGCAGTGCGTGGTTTGGTAATTCTTATGCATATTTTTTTTCGAAACCCATCCACGTTTTCCATTTAAAAATGCACATTTTTTTTTTATCTAGACATAACGCAAACAAGTTAACTCACAACAGTCAGCAGCGACTACACAATAATTCGTCCGGCGTTAGTTCACTCTCTTGTTCAGTGTAACTTTTGTTTCGACCTCTCTATTGCATTGTTGTCTACACTCGAGTAAGCCTAGCCTATTTGACTGTATCAACTATATTTTCTATTAACTTCCCCCTCAAAATATTATAAAACATACGAGCATGAGGCTAGGCCAAACCTCTTGAGAAAATATGGTTTTTCCTGTTTTCTTTGTATCATTGTATGAGAAATACAATTGGTTAAACTATACACGAGGAAATTAATAAAGAACCCCAAACCTCAGGGAAAATATTGTTTCCTGTTTTCTTTGTAACTACTCTCTTTTTAAAAAACGATACACGATAAAAGTTCACAGTCCATACCTAACACCAATTGACCTCTTTCCAGGCCATAAGATAGGTCACAAAATCAAAGATTAATATCAAACGACAATTTAATATCTGACATATCAGAATTACTAAAATATCACCTGTACCTTGTCACCGTAAATCGAGGCGACTGTCAATTTTAACTTGTCGTAATCGAGACGTAAATTAGATGGACATGAGTTCAGCTGGGACACCGCTAGGTTACTGTCACCAAGGGCGATACAAATACTATTGAAGAAAACCATGTTCATGACCCATTGCGAGAGATGGCTCTTACCTGTTCACTATTATAATTTATACCATTAAAGTGTATTTTCTGAATGTTGGTGTTCCTTGTTAGCATCTTTAGACATGCGCATCTTTTGTTTTTTTGACGGAAACATTTATTGTATGGACATCTGGGAACTCTTCTGAAAGCATTGATTTCAAAATCCGAAGTTTGTTATTTCAGAGGATCCGCGAGTGTACGAAACAGAAATATGATTCTGGGACAGTAAATTAAGGTTTGCTGAGAACACTTGAATACACTTTAAAGGGTCGCTTGAGGGAGAGTTCATGCAACAGGTCACCTGATTATGTTGACTTGTATTGTTATATCTATAAGATCAGATCATCAATCACTATCATTGTCATCCTCATCTTCGTTGTCATCATCGTCGTCGTCGTCGTAATCGTCATCATTGTCATCATCGTCGTCATCATCATCATCATCATCATCATTATAACCATTGTCATCCTTATCATCATCATCATCATCATCATCATCATCATCATCATTATCATCATCATTATCATCATCATCATCATCATCATCATCATCAT